TGGCTAGCTTCCCTCTGCTCAGAATAAAGTTCGGCATTTGTCATTTTATTACTCTAGGAATCTTTCCCATACAAAAAAGGAAATGATTTTCATCCTCTCTCTTTGCTTAATATAAATCTATTCCTTGCCAGATGGAAAGCTTTTGTGCTTCTATTGTCAAATCAGCAAATCCCCAAACAGTAGACAGACCAATTGAGGCAGCTCCATAGTAATTGCAGGCTGAGGAGGGATCCAGGAGGAGTGCCTTGGAGACAGAACCTTGGAGAAGAAATGAGCTTTGTAGTTATGCAGGGACAATGTTCTGGTCTAGAGTTGAATTGAAAAGAGAAGATCGCTAGAGTCTAGGATGTGTGTTAATTTGTCTTTTGTCTCTCTCAGAGAAAGGCCAGAAGTTGGAAGTAGTTGGGAACTTACTATGCCACAGGAAAAAGTTCTCTACCAGTCAAGCTTACTCTGTCCTTTCGAAAAGGCCTCTTACTGACAGGATGAGTGACTGTTCACCTTAGGCTGAAGGTATAGAGCTGTGAAGAAGTAGGGAGCCAGCACTGTGCTGGTGGCTTTATGTAGATTCGCTACTGGATTTCGTCTACTCAGCTGTGCATGACTAAGAAAGGAAATGTGATGTCCGTTAACCAATCATACCTCTCACCAGGGCTCATCTCAGACTGCAAGCAGATGCATTTTAGAAACAATGTGGCACAGCATTTTAATCTGCCTCACAAGGTTCTCCTAAGGGTGAATATGACCTGACCTCTTTTGAAGATTAGGAAACTGATTTGGGGGAGATTAAATAATTTTTTAAAGGCTGTGTAGCTGGCAGTGGTCAAGGCTGAGGATTCAGCCCAGAGAGGTTTAATACTAAAACCCACACCTGTTCCCAGCCCTCATTTTCACCTTGCCCCGGAACCTTGAGTTCCTCCCTGTCCCTCTCCCCACCCAGTCTTCCACACAGTGGTTGTAGAGCCAGAATGTGAACCTGACCTTGGCATTCGCCACTGCAAAGGTACCTTTAGATGAAAGTCTGAACTCCTTAGTGGGGCCTAGGCAGGGCCTACCATCTCTCTAGAACTCTGCTTAAAATTGCCACCCCCACTCTTCTGGTTGACTTCCTCTTAACCTTTGGGGCTCAGTTCAGTTGTTTCTGCACAGAGCCCTAGGTTGAGTTAGGTGGCTTTCTCCTGTGTAGCTGTCCATCATTTGACATCCTACCAGTGAGGTTCATGTGATATTCTGTAATTCTGGGAGCTTCCTGAGGGCAGGGGCTGTGCCATGTGTGTCTTATGTTCTAATAGTCTAGCCAAATATCAAGCATATTGTAGACATTCACAAATATGGGATGAGTGAGAAAACATCTGGTTTGATGCTACAAATGAATTGGTACCTGTGCAGCTGACCTCTTGGCATGACTTGGCACAACCTATGTGTGCTCTTGGATAGTCAGGATAGTAGCTTGTAACATGCAAGTAAATGTTTCTGACATGCTTCCTGAGAAGGCCAATATAATACAATGTCTCACAGGTTTATAGGAGTAAAATGCTCTTGAGAGCCAGAAGGATGCTCCTTCTTGATGCCTGTCATGACACATGCTTTGTCACATAGAACTGTTTTGGCTAAATGACATATGTCCTCTTCAAGTTGGCTGAAGTAGAAAAGTGAATTGGGTTGTCTCTTGTATGACAAACTACCCTAAACACTACTGGCTTAAAACAATAACCATCTTTATGTATTTGCTCACGAGTGGGTTCAGCTCACCTTAGATTTCTTGAATCTGCTGGGATGTCTTGAGCGGCTCATGGCTAGAATGCCTCCCCTTGCCTATGCCTAGGGCCTGATTCTCACTGTTTTCTGGGATCATTGATAATCTACATGTAGCCAACTTGGGCCTCCCCAAACTGTGGTGGTCTCAGGGTAGTTGGACTTCTCATATGGAAGCTGGATTTCTACAGAGAACAAAAGTAGAACTGTAGATCTTTAGGCTTAAACTTGGTACCAGAGCAGCACTGCATCTGTCACATCCTCTTGGTTAAAGCAGGTCACAGGGTCAATCCCAATTCTAGGCAAGGGAAACACATAAAGACAGGAGTCCTAGGGAGATGTGGCTCACTGGGGTCTGCTGAAGTAGCAAAGCAGTCATCTCCATGCAGCTTGCTAGACTGAAGGGTCCAGCACAACAGATCCAGTAGCACACACCAGATCATCCGGACTTGCACACTCACATGCTCTCTTTCCACTGTGGCTTCACTCCAGGTAGAGTCATCCCTCACAGCAGCACTACATTATGTTATTTAACCAGGCTGCATAACATATTTGAAGCCTCAGGCTCTAGAGTTGGATGCATAGATTCTATCAGCAGCTGTGTGGCTTCGGACAACTTTCTGAACAGAGAGAAAGCTCTGTGACTGTTTCCTCCTCCTCCTCGCATGTAAAATGAGAATGTAAGAAGTGTCTACCCCAAAGGTGGTGTGAGATTTAGAAGATGCCTGGATTGTGCCTCTTGCAGAGTTTGAGGGACAATCAGATGCTCAAGAGCACATCTTGGACCAGGGAGGGTTGATTCAGGTCTTAGAAAGGTAACACTTCATGGGATGTACTCTGGCTTGGCTCTGGCTCTTCTAGAAGGCACCTCTAGGGTCTGGTTTGCTGCAGCTTCCTCAGGAAGCCCCTAGTAGAGGTGGCTAAGTGGCTGAATCTCCCACCTTCTACTGCTACCCTTACCGTACTTGGAAAAAAATCTCTTCTGAATTTTGCAGGACTTTTAGTGGTAGTACTTTGTCATTGCCTCCTGGTGCCTGGCAGGACTCAGCCTAGGTCAAGGTGCTGGGTGCCATGGTTGGTCTCATAGCTCTTTACAGCCATTGGAGCAGCAGCATGTGATGTATGGCTCAAGACTGGGCCCTCAATCTTAGGTTTTCCCATGAAGAACTTCTCTTAGCCTTAGCCCAGGTGGGCAAGAAAGCCATTGTCTTGTAGTGTCTTTACTCCTATCCCCTCAACTATGGGAAAATGCCAGCATGGATCTGGGTGTAGAGACAAAGTACCGGGTAGAGTCCTTCTCCTTCTCATCTGTGCTCTCAGGACCTATCTTTTATCCCATTGTGTGTAGTTTTCTGAAATCTTCCTTGAAGATTAAGATAAAACTAATTAGGATCTGTCTTGTCCAGACTCTGAAGGCAGATTTGACTTGTAGTCTCTCTTTCCTCCCCTTTAAGGGTATCCACTTCCAGAGCTGCTGCTTTGAAGTTGGACAGAATGCGAGCAGTCTGGCAGCTTGTCTCACGAGCCCAACAAAAGCTCAGAGCAGATCAGGACTGAGTCACCTGTGTTTGGGACATCTTTGAGCACATGTGTTCCAAGAAGGCAGTGAGTAGCTGCTTGACTCAACTTGACCAGTTTCCATAGAGCTTTGGCTCTTTGAATATGGGCCTGAAGGTCACTGAGGAGACTCAGGAACCAGGCTGGGCCCGCCAACATGATGATAGGGCCCTGTCCTGGTAGCTTTTGTTGTTTTGGAATTCAATAAAATTAGAGATGATAGAAGGTGTAGTGTGATTTCCAAATTACCCAGGGTTTCTACTGGTCCTCTGAGACAAAATAAGGTGCTTGTATTTGTACGCTTGCACACTAGTAGCCTTGTACTGCTCTTCCCTCACTACCACAAACTGACCCAAGAAGGAAAGTTTAATTTTATTGTCTTGTGGAGGCTTATGTTTGATTGAACTGCACAGGTGTATGTCTGGAAGGTGTCATCTGGGACCTGTGCTGGGCATTGCCTGCCAGCATTGGAGTTTCCACACTTGCACAGGAGCCCTGGTAGAATTTTACATCTCTCAAGCAGCTACCACTTGCCCCCACCCTACCTACTCTGGCCATGTGATTCTACAGTTGGCGACTCTCATCCCAGTGTCCATGTTGCCTGCTCTTGAGCTATAGAGACCAAACATCCTCAATTAAGTGATGCTTAATAACAGCCCCTGTGTAACAGCAATTGCTGATACTCAGCTTGCTCTCATGCTGCACCACTTAACAAGTATCACTGAACTACTGTTCACCAGGCACTGAGCTAGAAACTCAGGATGTAGTTATGAACTCAGTAGCAACTAATGTGCTACTTGCAGCTCTTGTACCCTTGGACTTAGCAATAGACCAGGGAGCTTAGACAAATGCCCACCAGGCACAGGGTCCCTAGATTACCTTCCCTCAGCTGCTTGGTTTCAAACTTTTATGGCACTCTTCCCCAGTCTAATGTACCTGCCAGCCATGGGCTCCTCAGGCAGACCTGGGCCCAGAGTGGGCCCCATGTATCGTCCAAGAAACAACCATAGCCTTTACTCCTCCGGACATCTAATCTAACATCTAGTTATATTATGATGGAGGTTCAGCCAAAGGAGATGCCGAGCCAAAGTCTACTTTCTGTAGATTTTGATGCAGTATAGACTTAAATGATGGCTTTTTGGAAGCAGAAACCTGATAAGGGAAGTGAGGACCCTGTGCTGTAGCCAACCACTGGTCCTGCTCAGCTTTAGATAACCAGTCGGAAAGGATGGAGAGTGTCCTTCTATTCAGATTGTCAGCCAAGTGCAGACCCATGTAATAGGGGAATGTCTACAGGTGCTTCATTACTGTGTGTTTCACTAAGATCTTGTGCTCAGAACTTTTATTACAAGCAGCTTATAGCCTTTACAAACATAGGACCCTGGAAGGTAGCAGACAAATGCCCAGAAGTTCTGTGGGCTGTCTTTCTCAATGACAGAATGCTTTGTCTTACTGTTGGGCTTTCAGCTATCTAATGTTACTCAAAGAGTGTCGCAACAGTATAGACTAACTGAAACTCCCTCCACTCCTACCCACTGGTAGTTTTATCTGGAGCCTGTTATTTTGTTCTAGGTACAGCATTAGCGATATTACTTGAATGATCAATATTTTAAATTCTTGAGCCAGTTGCTCTTCCCCAGTGAATAAAAGCCAAGTTAAATGTGTGGGTTTTTCTTTTTTGTTTCCAGGCAAGCCAATTTTTTCAGTTGATATTCACCCTGACGGGACCAAGTTCGCAACTGGAGGACAAGGTATGTTTATGGAGTAAGTGAAGGAAAGCATCACTTTCCTGCCTCCCTGATCTGCTTCTCCTGCTTGTCCATGGTTAATTGTAAAGAAAAAACTTAATGGTTTTCAATATGAATGTGACTAGGTTTTAAATGTACACTTATGACCTGTCATCTGCATAGGTTAAATCAAAACCCTTTTTTGAGCTAGGCATGAATGGTGCATGCCTGTTATCCCAATGCTCGGGCAGCAGAACAGTCATGAGTTTGAGGCCAACCTGGGCTACATAGAAATACCCTGTCTCGAAACCAAGAAAAAGTCTTTTTGGTCAGGTGAGGTGGCTCAAGCCTATAATCCTAGCTACTTTACTTAGGATACAAAGATCAGGAGATCAGCCAAGACCCCATCTCTACCAATAAGCTGGGTGTGGTGGCACACACCTGTCACCCCCAGCTATAGCAGGTAAATAGGTGGATCCCAGACCAGTCCAGCATAGCCCAGACCTGATATGAAAAGTAAGCAAAAAGGGCTGGGGACTTGGCTTAAAGTGATAGAGCAATTGCCTGGCAAACATAGTCCTGAGTTCAAACCCCAGTATTGCCAAAAAACCTTTTTTGGCTTGTAGTGTGATCTGTATAAATATTTTTATAGTAGACTTATGATTCTAATAAGTATTTATTGAGTTTAAAGTAAAATGAGTTTTTGTCTCCACACCCACTCATTGAATGTTGAGAGTGGCCAGTGATCCCTAGACAAAGCCCATCCCTAGAGGGGCTTTCTCATCTGTCAGCATTTTTTCTCATCTGAAAAGGGGAAGGGATGATTAAAATACTGTCACGTAATTATTAGGCCCATTTTCTGAGCAGAGAAATTCAACTAGATTGAAGAGAAAGTACTCTGTGAGAAAATAAGAATACCCACAACATTTGAAAAGAGGATCTAGCCAGGCACTGGTGGCTCACACATATAATCCTACCTACTTAGGATGCAGAAATCAGGAGGATCTCGGTTTAAAGCCATCATGGGCAAATAGTTCAGCAAGATCCTATCTTGAAAATACCCATCACAAAAAAGGGCTGGTGGAGTGGTACCACAAAAAAAAAAAAAGGAAAATATGATCCATAGTATTAGCTTGCTTCCCAGCATATATTGCAGTATTGTAACATGGTTCTGTTTGGAAAGACAAAATCATTTTTCATGACAGGAAGCCAAGGTTATGTCTTGGTACATAGAAAGTAGCATTCCCATAGCTACTGCCCCTCAGCAGCTTTGCCTCAGAGGCCTCCCCTAGCCAGGCCTCACTGGACAGCACCTGATAGTACCTTTATGAGTGCATTCTCAGACCAGGTGCCTGAGGACAGGATAGCAGCAGAACCCTCTGCCCAAAGGCAGTGAATAGGAAAGGAATGCAAGGAAGCTATGGGTGGGGAGGCCTTTCTCTTCTTGTGAATAGGGGAATGGAGATTGCTTCCTCATTCACAGGATAGGCACACCCTCCACCTTACTCAGGACAGTAAGGTTTAGGGAAGATGTTTAGGAAATATTTTTACATAGGGGCCAAGAGGAAATTTCAAGCATTATATCATCACTTTGGCATGTCCACTTCCAGGCATTCATTATTATTGTTTTTTAATCACTTTTTAAAGTTATTAGTGATGAAAACTTAAGAAATCATTAATAAAATGCACAAATAAATTTTTCAGCAGAGCTGTGCATTAGCTTATAACTATCCCCTCTTTTGATTGATCTCCCATCTATAGGTTGACCGCAAAGGGCAGGCCCTATGTTCAGGGCACATTTCAAATCTGGGTCTCAAAGCATTCAGTCAGTTCTGGAAACAGCCATGGATCCAGGCAGCACCTTGAAGGGGAGGGAAACCCTGGTAGGGATTGTGCTTTTCTCCTTGCTTCTTAGGTTGCTCACGTACAAACCTGGAAGGGTCCTGAGACATTGACTTTCCATTCTCTTCTGTTTATAGGTGAAGAATCTATATCCTCGACAGGGATGAGGATATTCTAGGGGCCCCTGGGAGATAAGAGAGCAGGCCAGTCCCTTCCTCATGTCTAGTCCAGGGTTCTTTTCATAAAGTGAGATGGGCATCAGCTACTATTAAATCTGCCCTCTTTTGAGTCCTTATGAGTTCTCATTTTTCTTCACCTTTTCTGTTCTATACATTATTAATTCAAGTTCAGTCTCCTTAAATCTAGTCAATTATGATTTATGGAATCTCCGTGAGGACTTATAGTTAATATTAATGTCAATATCAAATTTCTACTCCTTGCACATTGAGCTATTTCTCCTATTCCAGGGCAGGATTCTGGGAAGGTTGTGATCTGGAATATGTCTCCAGTCCTCCAGGAGGATGACGAGAAGGATGAAAATATTCCCAAGATGCTTTGCCAGATGGACAATCACTTAGGTATTACAGAGTGGCCTTTTGCAGGCTTTGCGTGTTGGCAGAGTGCCCAAGGTTAGCACATGTGTTTGTAATTAGAAAGATAAGGCCCCGTGCGGCGGTAACTCCCCTCGGCCTGCTGTCTGAAGGCACAGATGTTGGCTGCACACCTGGGTGAGTTATTCGGCAGAAGACTCGGCCCGCTCACAGAACCATCTTTGGACAGTCTGCAGGTACCTCTGGTGATTTCCTGCTCATGAGTCGTTACTGCCTGATTACATGGGGCTTTGGGGCCAGCAACCTGGACACAGTAGGGTTCTGGGGAAGGGTACATAAGAGACAACTTGCTCACTACAGTGTCTCAAATTGGCTCTGTGTCACTCCAAGGCCCTCTGCCAGAATTTTTTAGACTGTTAAACAGTGTCATGGTTTCCTTTCCTGCTGTAGTGTCTTAGTGGCCCACCCTTGAGATGCTCCATTAATAGTTACTGGCCTTTGGATGTCAGCCCCTTTCTCTGCTTTGTGTGTTCTTGTCTTCCCAATATGCCTCTCAGAGTCCTTGGGCCTGGAACACAAGTTACTCACAGCTATATATTGGCTACAACTTTGTCACTGTCTCTTGTATTTCACATCTTCCAAAGACTGAGCTGTGTATGCTCAAGGAGGCTCCGACCCCGCAGAAGTCTAGGGGATTTCTGCTGGTTTTATTTTATAAGTACAAAAATCAATCCATCTGTCATGCTGACAAGTTTGGAAAATCCACATTTTAAAGGGCTGGCTCTGACAAGTGAGATTAAGTCAGAGTTTTACATGTAGAGTATAAAAGTTCCGGAAAAGGCATCTTGGCATTTTTAGCACATGCTTTCGTTTTGAGAATAATCCATATTCAGAAACACATCTCTTCAATGGGCAACCCTTTTGAAATAATGAGATTTATCACTTTTCATGGAAATAAGCCTCCTGTTGTCTGTTTCATTTAGTACTAACAATTCTCAGATTATGCATATTTTTCCCCTCCAGAACGTTCTGATAATTTGTTATAGCACAAGTAGGTTAGTGCTTCAACTGAATTATTTCTCTGGGACTTTCACACAGGAGATGCCTTAAATAGATTGTATAGATTTTATAAACCCTTTACACTTGCCAAACTCTGCATAAAGCAAATGGGCGTGACTATTGGATTTTCATCACCCTATTTTTTTTTCTTCCCAGCATGTGTGAACTGTGTGCGGTGGTCAAACAGTGGGATGTATTTAGCTTCTGGGGGAGATGACAAACTGATTATGGTGTGGAAGCGGGCTACGTAAGCATCATTTTCCTTTCTTCACATTTATTTTTAGAAGCTTCTTTGCTGGTCTTTATCAGTCTCCTTTCCCACCCTGGTGCTAAAATCCCCAGAGCTCCAACTTCTTAGGTAGCAGGAAGCGCTCATAGGTCAGGGGCAGATGGGGCTGACCAGGAAATCAGGAGGCCATTGACCTGCCTGATGACCTGGTCAGCTGCCCCCTTACAAGGATGCAGGGCTTCCACCTAAAAAGGAACCATTGATCATTTTGGGTGTTGACCTGGTAGCTTCATTTTTTTCATTCTCCAAATGAAATTTCACATGGAACCCTAGCACGCAAAATGACTAAAGATGTTCTGAAGGGGCAGGGGATTCAGAACCTCCCCTTTCTGCCACTCATAACATTCTGTGGCATCCTCAACCTGTGCCAGGTTCTGCTCTGAACCCAAAATGAGCTAAGCATCACATGGAAAAATATTTTCCTTTACCTCTATGCAGAGTTTTTCAGGGTGGGTCCTGAGACTATTCCACAGTAAGTTCCAGGCCACTCAGGCTGAGTCCTCAGACCCAGCGTCATTGTCAGCCAGAATGGCTCTGTGGCCATGGCTTTCAGAGCAGAGGTGTGCTGTCTCCTGAGCCCATTTGGCTGCCTTTTGAGCTCTCTGTGGTTTGGTGTAGCATTTTATAAAAGCAAAGAATATTCACAGAAGCTCTGAGCATTGATGGTGGCCACCTTCCCATGACTGCTTATCTAGAAGGAGTTAGTACCCAAGACTCTGCCTCCTTGGGTGTTAATGCAGGGCCATTTGATTCATTATGAGGCGACTTAAAAACACTGTTGACTTTTGAACTGTGCATGGTAGTACACACCTGTAATCCCTGCTATTTAAGAGACTGACGCAGGAGGAGTACTTGAATCCAGGAGTTTGAAACTAGCTAGGGCAACATAGTGAGACCCCCAATCTCAAAAAGAAAAAAAGAAAAGAATATTGATTTTGGTACTTTAACTAGCCAGCAAATAACTGGTACACAATGTGGGAAAGAAAAGAAAAATATCTCTTACAATCCCACCACCAAAAGAAAGCCAGGGCTAATATTTTGGTGTGTATCCCTGTGCTCTATTCCATGTGTAGATGATGTTCATATTACATGTATTTTTCATTTTGCATAAGTGGTGTCAATATTGTATATTGCATCTTGTGGTTTGCTTCTCAATTTATTGTGAACATTTTTCTGTGCAAGATTGTAATGGCTCTGTAGCGTTTCATCAAGTGCATGGATCATAAGTTACCTATTCAGCCTCTTGTTGAACAACCCAGTGCTTTCCAGCCATTGCTTTGTTCTGTCTGCCACGATAAGCCATGCTACAGGGAGTCTCTCTCTGCAATGTCCAGACCACTCCACGAGTGCCCATCTGACTCCTCTTTCACACAGGTACATCGGGCCCAGCACTGTGTTTGGCTCCAGTGGTAAGCTTGCCAATGTGGAGCAGTGGCGGTGTGTCTCCATCCTCCGGAATCACTCAGGTGGTGAGTGCGACTGTCAGTTGGGTTAGCTGGGTGGGTGGCTGGTAGCTGTCTGACATGAGCAGCAGCACCTCCGTGTCCTTGTGCTATGACTTTGGTCCTTAGAGAAGCCCTATATCCGGGCTATCCCTCCCTATCACCATTGGTCATCTGCTTGTTCCTCAAGGTTTGTGCAGTCACTGGCTCCACTGCCTACTTCCTGCTGCATTCAGTACCCCCACTTCTACCTTTTAATGTAGAACTTTCTGCTATTTATCCTGCTGAACTGAATCAGTGCCTTCATCAGTGGGTCATTAAGGCCATAAGTATACTTTATTTATTCCTGAGAAATCAGGCTGCCAGAGCCTGATAAAGTTTCTTAACTTGACCTTAAATGTGTTTATAAAACGTCTTAAATAGAGTTAGTTTGGAAAGAGGCACATTTTGCAGATTTAAGTTGAAGATGAGGAAGGTTAGTGTATAACAATCTAAAGCCCACCCTTTAGGTACCCGATATGGGATACCAGATGATTACAATTTAGGCTTATTTCAGTAAGCCTGTTGATCTACTCACAGTGGAAACTAATTGGGCTTTTCTGGAAGAAAAAGACACAATTGGAAGTGAACATGTAGAAAAATATTTAACTAGATGGGAAAAAAAGTCATTAAGGAGCACATTGTAATTCTTACATTATTAAGCTAAAACAAAACAAATTCTCAAAATTGATACCACAGGGTAAGGAAAATCTGAACAGAATAATAGCCAATGCAGAAGTTGAAAATTACCTTAAAAAATGGGTTCTGAGGCTGGGCATGATGGCTCACATCTATAATCCCAGCTACTCAGAAGGCAAAGATCAGGAGGATTGCTAGGCGCAGGTGGCTCACGCCTGTAATCCTGGCTGCTCAGGAGCCAGAGATCAGGAGGATCACGATTTGAAGCTAGCCCAAGCAAATAGTTCATGAGACCCTATCTCAGGACAAAAAAAACAAAAATCACAAAAAGGGGCTGGTAGAGTGGCTAAAGGTGTAGGCCCTGAGTTCAAGTCCCAGTACCACAAAAAAAAAGAAAGAAAAAGATCAGGAGGATCACAGTTTGAGGCTAGCCCAGGTAAACAGTTTAGAGACCCCATCTCAGCCAATAAGCTGGGCAAGTTGATACACGTCTGCATTGCAGCTTCTTGGAAGGCATAGATAGGATCATATCCAGACCAGCCCTGAAAAAACATGAGACTCTTATTTAAAAAACAACTAAAGCAAAAAGGACTGGGGATATAGGTGAAGTAGTGACATGTCTGCTCGGCAAGTGTGAGACCCTGAGTTCAAACCCCAATACACTTTAAAAAAAAAAAAAGGAAAAAAGTTTCTGGTCCTAAATTATTTGTTGATGCATCTTTTCAAGCTTTTAAGGAAAATTACAAGAACTAGAAATATTTATTTCAAAAGAAGATACTACCTGAATAAAGGTAGAAAAAAATCAATGACAATACTAGTTAATATATTTGAAAATAGTGATTATCATTAAATATGATTCACATTGGAAAAATTTTCTGCACAAGGAAACTTATTATTATAACTTACTAGGAGGTTAAATGATTTCGGTCACAGAGTCACTTTAGGAGATATTCCAAAAGAGATACTAGATACAAGCTGGATGTGTGGCTCAAGTAGTAGGGCACCTGCCTAGCAAGCACGAGGCCCTGTGTTCAAACCCCAGTACTGCCCAGTACCTCTCTAAGCCAGGCACTAGTGGCTCATGCCTATAATCCTAGCTACTTGGGAGGCTGAGATGGGAAAATCATGATTCAAAGCCAGCCTGGGCAAAAAATTACCAAGACCCTCATCTCAACTAGTAGCTGCGCACAGTGGCATGCACCTGTCTTCCCAAGTTGTGCAGGAGACTAAGATCAAGAGGATTGTGGGTCCAGTCTAGACCAGGCAAAAAAGTTTGTGAGACTCCATCTCAATGGAAAAAAGCTAGGTGTGGTGGCATATGCCTATCATCCCAGTGACAGCAGAAAGTGTAAAATAGGAGGATCACAGTCCAGGCTGGCCTGGCCAAAAAAGCAAGACCATCTCTAAAAATCAGAGCCAAGAGGGTAGAGCATGGGTCAAAAAAAAAAAAAATTAGGCCTCATTCTGAGAAGGTGACATCCAAGACAAACCAGTCAGAGGCAAGGGGATAGGCATGTAGCCATTTAGGTGGAATAGCCAGGGCAGAGGTTCTGGAGCATGGGCGTATGCTTGGCATGCTCAGGAAACCACCAAGGGTGGCAGGGGCAGTGATGGGAGGCCTGCGAGACCATTGAGAGGGCTCCTCTCCCAACAAGATGGGAAGGCTCAGGAGTGTGGGCAGAGAAGTTGAAGAGGACTATGGCAGTCTCTATGGTGGAGGCTATGAAGCACTAGGTTGGCCATTGATTTGGCTGCTGCCATAGTCCAGATGAAAGGCAGTGGTAGCTTAACCTGGGGCATAACACCAAAGTGGATCCAACATAGGGTGTGAAATAAGACAGGTTCACACCCAGTGGCCTGGACAACGGAAAGGATGCAGTTCTGTAACTGTGTTTGTTAGGGGAAATGTTTTGAAGTCTGATTGTAGACATGATAAATTTGCAGCTTAAGTGGACATGTTACATTGGCATTTGGAAATAGGAGTCTTAGAGTACAGGAGAGGGTTCTGGATGAAACCAAGGTTTGGAGAAAGAAACCAGCAAGAGAAGCTGAAAAAGATAGGCCAGTTAATTCCAGGCACTGGTGGTTCACGCCTATAATCCTAGCTACTCAGGAGGCAGGGATCAGGAGGATCAGGGTTTGAAGTCAGCCCCAGGCAAATAATTCCCAAGATGATATCTCCAAAACCTATCACAAGCATTAGGAGCACCCGCCTAGTGAGCACATGAAGCCCAGTGCTGCAAAAATAAATAAGTAAACAAAAAAGGCCAGTTAAGATAGTGAAGAGAATACTTAAAGGTAAGATGAATGAATATTTTCACTGTTGTAAAGTGAGAGTTAAGGATTGACTTTTGAATTTGACAGCATGGAGTTCACTGATGGCCTTGACAAGTGTAACTTATGTTGGTGGTATTGGGTCAAAGCCTGTTGGAGGTATTCAAAAAAGACTAGAGCTAGATTGGACCAGGCTGGGCTTGTCAGGCACCTATGAAACACAGAAGAAGGAAAAATACAACAATGGTGGCATCTCAGCTGGAGAAGGAAAGAGGTGATGATGTGAGCAGGGGTGGCAGACAGAGGAAGGAATGAAGACTTGGGGCAATGGCTCACCAGTATTAAGGTGCTGTTGGAATTCAGAGTAAGCTCAAATTGATGGTTGGAGTGTGAGAGGGATGAAACTGAAACCCGAGAGGAGGGTGTTGAGGTAATCCATCATGGAAGGTCTATGGGTATGACCATGGCATAAATGTGGTAGAAGCCAAGGTTATTGAAGATGAACAAGGAGTTTAAGGAACCCAAGGTCGTGACTGTTAAGAGAATCATCCTCTTGGAATTTCATGTGAATGATTGTGAAAATAGGGACTAGAAGTTGAACTCAGGTGAGGGAGAGTCTCAGCTGTGTGTCAGTCTACATGTCAGATGGGTGGTATATATACTTTGAAGACAAGGCCCAAGCCTGGAGTTCAGAGAAAATTGTCACAGGTATAGATTTACTATAAAACTGGATAGACTCTGAAGGGCTGGGTGGATAAGAAGTGTTAAGATGAAAATACTCAAAAGTGCCGTGTTAGAAACGGTATGGATTATGGGTCAAACTAACAATGCTGAAGGAGGCTACAGTGTGCCTAAGAACTCGGCATATTACATGGAGTCCTCACTTAACCAAAAAGGGAAAGAATTCTCCCCACAGTTGACGTAGTAACCATTAAGCAGTTTGTGAGTAAGGAGAAATTACTTTAAATCTGAGATATTAAAAAGATAAGCTGTAAATAATTAAACTAGGAGAAGATAGAATTGAATATTTATCAGACCTCTAGCAGAGGAAATGTTTTTCAGTGTTAAAAGGCAGCAGGAGAAATCACAAAGGAGAATAACAAACCCTACTACATTAGAACTCCAGTAAAGGAAAATGAGCAAGTGAAATTTGCAACTAATGTCTGTCATAAATAGTCTGTGGAAGTTACTAAGAAAATCACATCTGCTTTCTGGGTTCCATCAGTCCATATTTTGTCTGTTCTAGGACTTGGGTACTAGAGTAAAATAACTGGATTTTACACGCCTGCTGCTGCAGGACTCTGAACTCAAAGAGAAAGTTCCTGGTTTTTTTGTTTTTTTTTTTTAATTCTGTAGACAGTGCATTCATGTATGTTACACCCACTGCTCAGAAAGTCTTCCCGGTAGACAGTCATAAGACATGAGCAATTTAGTCCAAAAAGACTACTTTAGATAATAGACAGATACTTTCCCTAATAATCAAAATTAAAAACTATAACAAGATATTAAATTAGTCAGAAGGAAAAAAATATAATCCTCATTTCTAATAAGGGAGTTTCAAAGCAGACATTCTGTGTGCAGAAAAGTAAAGGCATAGAGGTGTTTGAAAAGCGATCTAAAGTGTTACAAGTATTCAGATATTTGAAAATATTTGGTATTCTGTCCAGGGTTTCCACTCTGGGATATCAGTCTCAGAAATAATCCAGAGTGTGGAGAGAGTTATGCATATAGTAGCATGAAACACTGTTAAATTAGTGTTAAATTAGCTATATTCATAGTAATGAATACTGTCACAATATAGAATATAAAGCAAAACAAAAGAAACCATAAAGATCTCACAGACAATTAGACTATGAAATGTAGCATATTAGTGTAAGGACAGCCACAAAGTATGATGCAATGCAGGAGAAAAATTCATCAAGCTGCACTAAAGGTTTTAAAAATACTGAAAAATAGTGCAATAGTGCAAAGAGGGATAGTGCTTATCCCTCTTTTATAAAAATGCTGTAGGGAACTAGGTTGCTGTTAACTGCACCAGCCACTGAGGTTAGAAAAATAAGATCATACCCTTCACACCAGGACTGCAGATAGGCATGGTCACTGTCACCATCACAACTGACCTTAATTGGTTCCTTGGTCTGTGCCTGGCACTATGCCACAGAAATTTCTTATACGTAGTCCTCAAAGTAATCTAGGAAGGTAGAATTTTGTAATCTTCACTTGACAAATGAGAAGTCTGAGCACAAAGAATTGAGTGTAAGGGTGGGGAGGGGGTTGAGGGGGAGAGATGATGGGAACAATGTAAATATATACAATTTAAGTCTAATCAGCATTGTCACTACGAATTCCCCTCGGTATAATGAATATATATATATCCTAATAAAACATTTATTGACAAAAAAAAAGGAAGGAAATAAATGTTAGTATAATGATTAATTCTTTCTTGGGACTCAATAGGGAAGAGGTGTTCCTGGTAACATCTCAGAAGTGAGATTCAGGACAAGAGCAGGAGCAGGAGCAGGAGCAGGGCCTGAAGATAACTTCATTCAGGAAGTCAGTGGCTCTTGATCTAATTGAATGCCAGGCATTCTGCTAAGTGCTTTTTCTACCATGTCTTGCTCAGAAGGCTCTCTGAGGAAGGCCCAGTTAGCACTGAAGAAGCAAGTTGTCAGGGTGAGGAATAGGCCCAGGGCAAGGAAGAGTCAGGTTGTGGTTCAAATACATGGGTGTGATGCCACATGGCCCACAAAGCTCTCAGCTATGCTCTTGGTTGCTTTATCTATAAAAAGAATCGGATACTGGTCAGTTGGGTGCTTTAAATTTTATAACTACTGTGAAAAACCCTAGTGGAAAAAATTTTTCAGATTTGCTTTAAAAAAAAAAAAGTAGTTATGATCCCACATCAAGTGTCTTCCACTTGACAACCCAAATGATGGCTGGCCTACCTTACAGGCAGAGCTGCTGCTGAATGCCCACTGTTACCAAAGTGCATGCCAAATAAGAGATCTCACCACAGCCCCCTGTCTTCTTCTAGATGTGATGGATGTAGCATGGTCTCCCCATGATGCCTGGCTAGCCTCCTGCAGCGTGGATAACACTGTTGTCATCTGGAATGCTGTGAAGTTCCCAGGTCTGGGATCCCCCTGCTGGCTGATGGCAGAAATGGGCTGCTGCCCTCAGTACCGCCCATTGGTTGTATAGAGCAGGATGTGGGTGTGGGGAGTGGGCTGTCCATCTCCTTAATCTTACATGTGTCTTGTTAGTAACCCAGTTTGGGGTTTTTGGGTTTTTTTTGTCAATTAATTGGTTTAAGGTTTAAAAAGAGATTTATGTTAAAGAAAAAGAGTAGCTGACTGCTGGCATGAGGGTGCCATAGATCATGAGGGTGCTATGTAGACAATTGGTGTTGAGAACCATGGCGCTCCTGCCATGCTATGTGTACCCCCATACCACCAGGGGTTCTGGCCTCAGCTCAGTTGCCATCTCTGTGAAGCCTTGAGCAAATGAAGTCTAACTAGTTCTGCAAAAGATTAGCTTTTCTTATTCATGGGGTTTAAAGTCAGTAGAAATTGTATAATCTGGCATAATATTAAACAATTTTTATCTAGTAAAATACATCTATTACCACTCAATATCTCAAGTATGTTTTCCTCATGGGCTAAAATGCATCATCGTTGGATTGGATCCAAGTCATTTTAATTCCCTTTGAAAGCCACCACCAGCATATGTGGGAACATTTGTTCTGGCCACAGAGGGGCAGTTTTGGAGACTGGTATAGCATTTTGATTATAGATCTGCAGAAGGTGCTCTTGTGCACATCTTCATCTGCAGCAGTGACTTGCAAAAGACACACTCAGCTGAGTGCCCACCCCTTTGAGCTGCTGCCTGTCAAGGAGGTTCACATTTTAGAAGTGCTCAAGTCACAGCCCAGGTTGGCACAGACTTCCATCTGCTGGCTATAGATGAGATGTAGGGGCAGAATTGGCAGTTCTGGCCCAGGCTATGCCCCCTTTCTGCCTGTCTTTTTGGGAGCATGTGTGACCCCTTGAGTGTTACTGTTGTGAAGGAAAATCCATGGTACCTGCCTACTTAATACAGTCATTTTTTTCAGGTTGCTTTTTGCCTTGGTAGAAGTCACATTAGTGGTTCTTCTCCACCCTGGGGTTGGAGGCTGGCCAAAGAGGATTGCTTAAGTCCTCTATCTTAGATGTCCATTCCTTGGCCCATTGCAGCTCATGTTTTCTATATAGAGCCATTGTTGTTTTCACCTATGTAATACCTGATCAAATTTGTTTTATTTTTTTCTTCACAGAAATTCTTGCTACTCTGAGAGGTCATTCTGGCTTGGTGAAAGGGTTAACTTGGGACCCTGTTGGTAAATATATTGCCTCTCAAGCTGATGATCGCAGCCTGAAGGTGTGGAGGACACTGGACTGGCAGCTAGAGACCAGCATTACCAAGCCTTTTGATGAGGTAACTGGGGACAACCCAGAGCTTGGCCCCATTCTTGCCTCATCTCCATGCACAGAGGAAGCTAGCCATGCTCCAGACTATGTGGGTGAATGCCAAGAGTGAGGGGGCCTAAGAAAGCCAGTCCTTGATCTCTGAGGTGGGCACTCAGGTGAAAAATATCTTTCCTTTCTGAGAAGGCATTAAATGCCCAACTTTGAAGTGAAAAAAAATTTATAGATTTTTAAAGCTAGAGAACTTCAGTTCCATCTGTACAGCGCTGGGTACCCAGCTCATGACAGAGACACAAATATTATTATTTCTTATTCTGGGGAGTTTACATTGAGTTGTCCTACTGAGCGGCTTGTTGATGGAAGGGGGTGTTTGAAGAGACCATCTCTTACATTACTGTCTGTACTTGTGCTTTCCTTATTGATATCTACTCTGCAGGTTGCCTGACTTCTTTCTTAGGTGGATTTAGAACAATTTGCAAAATATGTGGACATCAGACTGCAGTGACTTCTGTCCTCATTTTGCAGGAGGAATAACATAAAGGGATGCCTGCCTTGGCCCTTAGGCCAAGCCAGAGAAATAGTGCCTTTCTGCTATACCTTTTACAGTTAGTAAGGAGTGTACAAACCTCTTTTCCTTTACAGTGTCCTCAGGTGAAGTGACAGGCTGATGGGAGTTGTGGTGCCTCACTGTCACTTACCCTAGCATAGACCCAGGCTCCCACTGCGCTCTGAGGGTAAATAGGGTGCTCTCTCCTACAACATTTCTTGTGGATGCACTGTAGACACCCTGTGCTAGGGTTCACAGGTGCTGTGCAAAAGCAGTAGGTTAGTGGCCTGATAGATTTGGCCCACACAGGGTTGATGGTTTTAAAGGAAGGCCTTCCTATAGATCCCTTTTGGGTGTATACTTCTGTACTGTTATTTTGTGTTCAGTCCTGTGGTGGGGTGGAGGGTGCCACAGTTTCCATATTCATTTGACAAGAGAGCCTTTTATGTTTGTACCATCTGGGGAGACTGGAGTGCAGCCACAAGCTTGAATAAATGCCTCATCATCATATGTTTGTAAATTACAGTTCAACTTTATCCTTGAGGTCAGAGTTTTGGCCTCAGCACAGACGTTTTTTTCAGTGTGGAGGGACAACCCATGTTTTACGGCTCAGCTGGTCACCTGATGGGCATTACCTGGTGTCTGCTCATGCCATGAACAACTCTGGCCCCACTGCCCAGATCATTGAGCGGGAGGGCTGGAAGACCAACATGGACTTCGTGGGGCACCGGAAAGCTGTGACTGTCGTGGTAAGTGTGCCTTGCTTCAGAAGTTCTGGCAGCCTTGAGTAGCCTACCACATCAGCTTTTACGTTCCTCAGAGCCTGGGGAGTTTGGAGCCCTCCAGGAAGCTCTGAGGACTGGTCACATGGGGATTGGGATGATGGGCTCTTAGAGTCAAGTCAGTACATGTTGGTGCTTATTTCATTTTAAATATTTACTGTTTAAATATTTTAAAGAATATATTTGTGCTTTTTGGCAAACTGTAGAATGGTGAATATCACCTATTTACACATTCAGGTCTACCCACAGGTACTCCAGTACAGTGCCCCCTCACCTAGCTCCAGCAAACACAGAACAGTTTGGGAAACCCTGGAGCCGTGTGCGTGTTCCCATGCCTAGTAAAAATAGTCATAGCTGACAGCCTATGCTGGTGGGTGGGTCACTGGCATGTGCACCCTGTCTCTTTCTTTTGGCTATACTGGGGTGTGAATTCAGGACTTCATGCTTGCTAGGCAGGCTCTCTGCCACTTGAGCCACTCCATCAGCCCTGTTTTGTGTTTGGTATTTTTGAGATAGGGTCTTGCAAATAGCCTGGGCTAGCTTCAAACTGCAATCCTTCTGATCTCTGCCTCCTGAGTAGGTAGGATTGCAAGGGTAAGCCACTGGGGCCCAGCATTGATGTGGAAATTATAGAGGGCCAGAGAGAAGCTGCTTATCTTTCATGCTTGAGAGAATGTCAGTCTGGGTGACTATAAGTAAAGAGTGTCTTGAGATTAACCAAGGCAATCTATTAAGCAGTTGCAAATAACCTGAGAGAACCAAGATTTTCTCAACAATGGGCAACTAAACAAAACAAATAGATAGGCAGGCTCAGATTGATGACAGTGGAGAATCATGTAAGACCTGATCAAAATGAGCTGTCATTGCCTGTGTTTAAACTGGCAATAAATAAATATAGTATCTTGTACCTTAAAATTCTGCTTCTTTAATTATTTTGGAATTCATGTTGAATTTTGTTTGAAACTAGGACCTTGTTACTTAAATGTTTGAAATCACTGACTCATAGTTAGCATGGTACCTCTGTGATTCTCTTGTGTTTGTTCTTGTGGCTCTGTACGAAAACAACACCTGCCTTGCTGAGGCCCTACAGTCTACTCAGTGGTAGTGGGGATTTGAGCCCAGGGTTCCATGTTCTCCACCTATGTGCACCACTGGCAATTTCTGCCAGCCCTCTGGAGTGAAAACCCTTCTATGCTACCTGACACCAGGGTCTAAGGAGCCATCCTTCCTCCACTCTCAGATGTCCTAGCTTGTGATTCCAGGAGCTCCCATCCCCTCTCAATTCAAGAAGGTGTCATGGAACTCAGCATGTGTATCTGGCCTTTGCTAATGTGACATCCAGGTTACCTATGAGGTCAGCTCCCTGGACTGAGCAGGACACCATTGTCTCTGACCTACTGAGATCATGAGAGCCTCTTGAGCAAAGCAGATCTCTGCTAGGTAATTATAAGTGAATAACAAATATAGTGAGGGAGAAGGAATTAAATGGATCAGATCTTTCCTGCCAGTCCCTTTGTCCTCCTTTTAGAGATGGGCAGTGAGTATGTCATAGACCCCGAAGTCCCCTTGTAGGCTTAGTGTCTCCCCAGGTCCTAGGGCCTGACCCTGCCAGGCCAGGAGGAATTGAGGGGGTCTGTTCCAGTAGTTCTCATCCCCTCAACCTGGCTTCTGGATCCAGAAACGGGGTGCTTGGTAGCACTAATTTCATATCCTTATTTCTTCACTTACTCATTTAGTGACTCCGTACATGTTTTCTTTTTTTTTTTTTTTTTTTTCACGACTGCTTCAAGTTTAATGAAAACTGATTCCCATGACAATAGAGTAACAGGTGCGCTGGGTTTTTGTTCTACTTAATTTTAAATTCCTGAAATGGGGGAGAAAGGAGGGAGTTTAGGAATTCGTTTCTATTAAAATATAGAAGTTATTGCAAAACCCTAACTGTAAAAACGCACCAATATAATCGGACATCCCCGAGCCTCCATTGCATTGTAAGCTAATGCCTCTTAGTTTTGAAGATGAAATCACAACATGCCGAGTGCCAAGCTCAGAGGCTTGTGGGAGACTCCCTCCAGTGGGCTGGGACTTTGGTGTGTTTCTAATGCTTGGGCACAAGGTACATGCTTGGCACTTAATTAATTATTTTAACTTTTGTTATTTGGCTTTAGAAATTCAACCCAAAAATCTTCAAAAAGAAACAGAAGAATGGGAGTTCTGCGAAGCCCAGCTGCCCATACTGCTGCTGTGCTGTTGGCAGCAAGGACCGCTCGCTGTCTGTCTGGGTGAGCCACCTGAGTTTTTTTTTGCAGGGTGGAAAGTGTGGACTGGGAAGGTGGTGAGCCCAGTGTCCTTGAAGGGAGGAGAGACCCTCTACTTTTGATGATACTCAGTGTGTACTTCCACCTTGAACCTGGGGTCAGCTCCTTCTCAGAAACTTGAAGGCTCTTCTGCTATGTAGAAGGAAGCACTAAAGACTGAACTTGGTCCTAGTCAGGAGCGGCCATCCTGACCTCCAGTCAACAGCTTTGTATCCAGATTCAGGCAGCATCCTCAGCAGTCAGTGCCGTAGTTGGCATATTGTGTTTGCTTCTTGTTAGAAGTTCTTTGTATTGCATATAACATAGAGTGTATTCATTTGAAAGTACACTTCAGTCAATTGTATGTTTCTGCCAGTGTAGCCACTGCCTGGAACACTTCTTCCTACCCAGGCAAGATCTCACCCAATCCCCTACCCTACCAAGGCATCCTCTCTAACAGCCTCTCTCACACTGATAAGTTTTGCCTTGTCTTGAACTTCATATAAAATGTAGTTGTGCAGTGTTTGCTTTTTTATGTCTTGCATTTCTTTCACTGAGCATGATGTTTTTGAGATTTATGTGTGTTGTTGCATTTAACAATAGTTTATTCCTATTAATGCTCTATGGTATTCAACTGTATGAACATAACACGTTCTCCTGCTGGTGAACATTAGTGTTGTTCCAGTTGTAAGACATTATGACTAAAGCTGATAAGACAATTTTTATATTAAGTATTTTTGTGGACATATGTTTTCATTTCTTCAAATTTCTTTTTTTCTTTTTTTTCAGTGCTGGGGATCAAACCCAGGGCTGCCTTGCACATGCTAGGCAACTGAGCTATATCTCCGGCCTTGTTTTTTGGTTTTTTTTTTTTTCTTTTTTTGATGGAGGGCGTTTTTTGTATTTGTTTTGAGACAGTCTTGCTATCGAGCCCTCAAACTTGTGATCCTTCTGCCTCCCCACTTCCCTGCATCTCCCAGAGTAGAGATTACAGCTATCATCACCATGCCTGTTTGTTTTCATTTCTTTTTGAGTACATATGTAGGAGTAGAATGACTAAAGTTTAACAAAAAAGGGAGGCCTGCATGTATAGCTCAGAGCCTGTGTTCAATCCCCAGCACAAGAAAACAAAATAAGAGGCAGACAGTACCAAGTGTTGGCAAGGTTATGGTAAACTGGAAGTAATACATTACTGATGGATATTTAAATTGTACAAGCACTTTCAAAAAGTATTTGGCAGTTTCTGCTAAAGCTAAACACATGACCTAGTAGTTCTACTCTCAGTCTACACCAAAACAAATAAAAGCTTGTGTCCAAACAGATATGAAGAAGGTTCCCAGTGTGGCCTTTTTTATTTTTTTGGTGGGACTGGGATTTGAACTCAGGGTTTTGTGCTTGCACAGCAGGTGCTCTACCACTTGAACCACACCTCCAGTCCATTTTGGTGTGGTTATTTTTGAAGATGGGGGTCTCAAAAATTATTTGCCCAGGCTGGCCATAAACCTTAATCCTCCTGAGCTCAGCCTCCCAAGTAGCTAAGATTACAGGCATGAGCCACCAATACCTGGATGACTTTTTTTTTTTAATTAATTAAGTTAAATGGAGGCAAGGTTTTACTGTCTACCCTTGGCTGGTCTCAAATTCACTATGTAGCCCAGGCTGACCTTGAACTCACTGTGCAAATCAGACTGGCCTTGAACTCTTGATCCTTCTGTCTCAGACTCCTGAGTGCTGGAATTGCAGACATGCAGTGCCACTATTGACTTTGTATAATTACTTGGCATCTTTGTTTACTGGTCCATTTAACCCTTTAGGTGACACTGATGAATGAGACTGACTCATGTACTCCTTACTAGATAGCAGCCCCTGAGAAGAGGCTCTGTGTCTTAAACTCCTGTATCTCTTCCCTTCCTAACTCTGTGCCCTATATTGAGCAGGTTCTTAGCAATTATTCAGTGACAGCCTGAAGGATGAGAACCAAAGGATAAGAACTGTAACAGTTTCTAAGTTAGGGTCCTGAAGGGTTAATTTCCTTAACACCAGAGATTTAAACAAACCTTCCAGTTTGTTTGAAGTCTGACAAAGAAAGTCCACATGCATTAATTTAAAAATTTTTAGCACTTCATAAGCAGAATGAATCTGAGGTTATTTATTACAGAGAATTCCATTGCTGGATATATTGTGATTTTTTTTTTTTTTAAGACCTAGCATCTATTTAACATCTACCCTGGAACTTGAACCACAGTCAGTGCCACAGTGCACATTTAAGGGTGTGCTCTTCACAGGGCCCATTCATGATTCTGCTCACGTTTCTTAGAATGTTGAAGTCAAGTTAGCACAGCTCCAGAATTCTGAGAAGTTTTGTACACACATTCATGGGAGGAGGGGTAAATGGAAATGGAATTTGGGTGTGAGTAAGATTCCTGGTAGCTCAGACTCTAGCCTTCCCTAAGACTTGGTGTCTGTAGATCCTCCTTCCCTATACACCAGTCTCAGACTGGTCAACCTCCTGGATTCTGCAGCAGCACCTATGGGAGCCTACTGTCATGTGAAGAAGTGTGTTCCCACTTAGCTAAGGAATCTGTCTCAGAGCAGCCAGACTGTTGGGTGTAAGAGGTTGACCTCACTGTTCTTGTGGGAAGGTCAAATCAGGGTTCCAACAACATTAGAGTGAGTAGCTACTGAGCTTGCATATGCTTCATATTAGGCAGTTATCAAAAAAAGTTTTCACGGGATATTCAGTGACATGCTCATTGTGTGTTAAATGAAAAGGCAGGGGAAAAAAGAAAGAAAAAGCAGACATAAAGATGTACCTTATTTTGAAGAATAAAATAAATATTTCCAAAAGATAGACCAAAATGCAGTTCTTCAAAGTTTTAATGGTAATTAACTTTGGGTCTGGATTAAGGACAAATTTTACTATTGTGTGTTGGTGAACTACCTGACTCATTGTAGAGTAAGCCCATATCACTTACATAACTGGTTACACCAAACCTTGGGTAATGTGTGCCAGAGCTCCATAGGCCCAGAGAAAATAAGCTGGGTTCTCTTTGAGGCTACCTCATCCAGTGCTCCAGAGATCCTTTCTGAGCTCCCCACTGGTGCCAGCCCCCTGCTCCAATGGCAGTCCTTCAGATCTCCTTCTATTCTGCCTTCTCTGTTGCTGACTATGTGTATAAAGCAAGGGACTGCCAGACTACAACAAGCCTTATGGCAGTGACTACTCTAGTATGCATATTTCTGGCAGGCTTTGGTTTCCGTGGCTTGGGGTATCAGCAGTTGCTGTCTGAATTGAGTTGCCATATATGTCAGCAGAAACTGACCAGTGTTTCTGAACTGATAGAGTTAACGGAGTTGAGTGCACAAACCAGTTCTCAGTAATTCCATTAACTTTTGATTCTTTTTTTCTAGCTCACATGTTTGAAACGGCCTCTGGTTGTCATCCATGAGCTGTTTGACAAATCCATCATGGATATTTCCTGGTAAGGTGGATTCTTGTTATGGTACATAGGCTACAAAAGGACATGAGATATCCTGGATGTGATTAGGGCCAGGCGGCCAGTGCCCCCTTTCCAGTCATGCTACTTGCACATGATTCAGGACCCAGCAGCTCCATGCCTGCTGTAAGAATGGGCTGCCTTGGATAGTGTTTGTGGCTGGAAAATGCATTCTCAGACAAACTGGCATCCATGTAGGCTTGCAGCAGACACATTTCTCAGGGTTTTTTTAAAAATTATTTCAAAAATAAGATAAAATTGAAAACTCACAAAATATGCTAAGAGATACTTTGTACATGTTCCTAGAACTAAAAGGACGCCAGAGACATCTGGGATGTAATTATTACCCCTTCTCCCTATACCTATTCTCAGGCCACAGAAGGGAACCAGAGGATTCCAGGATCTATTGAGAGTACTGTCCAACCACCTTCATGGGCTAGCCACTGTGACATGGTGTCTACCTCAAGTGATTGCTCCCAGGCTGCTGACACCTATCTCTTTCAGGACTCTGAACGGACTTGGCATCCTTGTGTGTTCCATGGACGGCTCTGTGGCATTCCTTGATTTCTCCCAGGATGAGCTTGGAGACCCCCTGAGTGAGGAGGAAAAGGTAGGCTGGTGGCCTGTGCTGTATGCTTTTTGGCCACAGAAATAGCCACTGAGAGACCCTTTAGATTGGACCTTCTTTTTGTGGGATATAAAGACACAATTTCTTTAGGTATAGTAAGGTGTTTGCTTTTTATAGATTATATTCCTTAATAGATTAATCTAGTAATAAGTCTCTGTTCATGTCAGAAACAAGTTCTGGAATTACTGCTTTGGGTGTTTCTGCTTGAGCTGATAATAGGCCACCCACTGGGGGCTTTCAACCTGGGAAAGAGAACTGGAGGGTCTCCCAGGGCTCCCTTTCATATCACTTTTCCCACCCTATTGTCTTGTGCTGACATAGTCATTCTTAACATGTACTGGGTGGTAGACTCTAAGGCATGTGCCTTGCATATATTATTTCATTTAAACTACGCAGCATCCTTAAATTAGGGCTTATGGGTACTGGGGATTGAATCCAGGGCCTCATACATGATAGCCATGTGCTCTACCAACTGAGCCATATCTCTAGCCTCAGCAACTTGTTCTAAAACAAGCCCGTAAAGTATTCCTGAGACCCACCAAAACCGAAGAACCATTGGTATAGACTATACTCAGTTATTAGAAAATAGGAATTGGAAGGAGCAAATGATTCCATGAAGATTTGTATGTTATTTCCTTTGTTTCTTTCATTGTGTTTGTATGTGACATTTTAGTATTACGCCCTCTTTTTCTGGTTCATGTTTTTTTATTCTTTCCCCTATTCAACTTATTTCTGCAACCCTTTTTCTCCCTAAATGCCATAATAAAGAATTGAGGTTTTGGGTTTTTGTTTGTTTGTTTTAAAGTGGGTTTCATCTGTTTCATTGGTGAGCTAGTTAAGACTCAGAAAGTAGCATGGCTCTTCGCCAGTACTGTACATGACCCTCAAGTACAAGAACAGAAGTGTGAACGAGACCTTCTGCCTTTGAGCCTTGTCTCCGCTCCACTGTGCTCTGTCTGTGGCATGGGGCCCATGTGCCTTTTGCAAGGGCTTTGAGAAAGGTTCTGCCTTACCTATCATGGACACAGAAACCTGTGGTTTCTACCTGCAGACTTTTGTCAACCTTTAATGGTGTGTTTTATTCATTTATTTGAAAGGAATTCTGTGAAAGCCCAGAGAAGTTCAGCATCTCTCCCCTTAGTTATACTATGCATGGAGGAAGCTCCCCCTTTTTTTTTTTTTTTTTTTCTGCTGTATTGGGGTTTGAACTCAGGGCCTATACCTTGAAACACTCCACCAGCCCTTTTTTCTTAATTGGTTTTCCAAGATAGGGTCTCATGAACTATTTGCCCAGACTGGCTTCTAACTGTGATCCACCTGATCTCTGCCTCCTGAGTAGCTAGGATTACAGGCGTGAGCCACTAGTGGAAGTTCTCTCTTACCTACTGTAAAACCTCCCTCAAAAGATGTAAACCCCTTGAGCAGGGGTAGAGGTATGCCTCTGTGCCCTGTACCTAGAACAGTGTTTGGTACCCTGTCAGTCATTTTTTAATCAACCAAATGTCTCAGTGGCTAGGGTCTTCTTTCTACCTTGTCACTGTCATCAGGTGACCCAAGTTTGACTTTGTACCCCTTTGGAGAGTCACTGTGGGAGTCTACTGATAATCCCATCTAGTTTGCCATTTCCCAGATCACTGAGGAGCCCTGTGTCTAAGGAGCACTTGGAAGATCTTGGCAAACTCTAAATTCTGGCTTGAGATTTGAGGGGTTGGATTCAAGGGAGAGAAAAGGGTGACAGGAGGAAGGTTTCTGGCTACACCCAGATCCCATAGGAATGAATCCCAAAGTTCTGCTCCTGGGAAGTTTCTCCTCCCCACAAAACATACACCTGGCATTTTCTGATGTGAGACAAACACCCATTAACTATAATTCCTATTCCTGGGCAGGATACAGCTACAGGTCATTTGCACATCCTTGGGTTAATCTGCTCCCTGTCATGCTTTTATGAGCACTGTTGACTACAGTGTATTAGGAACACTTTCCCTTCTTTTCTGGGTTTCTTCCCTAGCTCGTTATGGTGCAGGACTAATAGGGCCTAGGAGGATCAGAACATGTTAGAAGGGATCTTGGCACAGCAGAACTGGGGAGACCAGTTCTGCTGTGCCAAGCCTCCATTGCTTTTTAGAGTCACTGAGAGTCTTGTGGGGACCTCCTGCCATGGTGGCTGACATCTGCTGGCAAGAGCAGACTGGTTCCATGAGAGTGTTGAGGGTCTTTGGAGTGGCTTAAGAGCCTTAAGTTAGCAATGTGGGCATTTCAGTTGAGATAGTGTCTATTGCCATTTGTTCTGTACCATATTATGTAGTAGGTGTTTTCTTGTCAGTATTTCACCATTCCTAGCTTTAGATACATACCTTAACAAAGCCATCTAATCAGAGACAGGCAGAGTTGGGTGGGAGGTGATGGAGAGCTGGTGTCCCAAGTCCTTCTCTCAGAATCAGGAGAGTCCACATTATAGTGCACACACTGGTGAATAGCGTCAGCCATGGTGATACTCACACTGGTGTGTTAAACCTCTCCCTGCTTCCTGCAGAGCCGCATTCACCAGTCCACCTATGGCAAGAGCCTGGCAATCATGACCGAGGCTCAGCTCTCCACAGCTGTCATTGAAAACCCAGAAATGCTCAAATACCAGCGGAGACAGCAACAGCAGCAGCTGGACCAGAAGAGTGCCACTGCCAGGGAGACAGGCTCAGCTTCTTCAGTTGCAGGTGTTGTCAACGGGGAGAGTCTGGAAGACATCAGGAAGGTAAGGGCTTGACTCAGAAGTACTGAAGATTTGGGCACATGCCCAGGGACTGGGCAAAAGAAACAGGTAGAGTGTGGCTTAAGCAGCCTGGACAGGGCACAAAGATGGGGCCACGGGCAGGAGTGGTGATACAAGATTATGTGTGTTAAACCTAGGGCAATATCCACAGTCAACTAGCTGGTGCCACTTGGTCCATTGCCTGTAGCTACAAGGGACACTAATAGGGCCCAAAGTACTTTTATCAAAGTCCTCTGTACTGGTAATAGTGGTTTTCAGGCTCTGACCTCAGGAGACTTCTTAGGGTTCCCCTTCTTTATCTGGAAGCTCACATTTTACTGTTGGGGAGGGGGAATTGGAAATGGGTCAAGAGCAGAGAAGAAAATGTTGAGCTTACTGGGAAATTTAAACTATATAGGAGCTTGTGTTGGTTGACAGACCTCTCCCGAGTGATTCAGACAGAATGTGTGGCTCAGAACCCTTGGTTGAGTCTCTTTTTTTTTTGTGGTACTGGGGCTTGAACTCAGGCCACTCTACCAGCCCTTTTTGTTGTTGGTATTTTTGAGATTGGGTCTCATAAACTATTTGTCCGGGCTGGCTTTGAACCACGATCCTCCTGATCTCTGCCTCCTGAGTTGCTAGGATTACAGGCATGAGCCATCAGCACCCAGCAGTTATGAGTCTTTCATGAAGAAAGGGCTCCATGATAAAAGTCAGTTTGAAAGTCATTAATTTGATGACAAGAGTGTGGTTCACAGATACAGATCTTAGTACTTTGGGTTCCCCATTGCACTCTAGGCTGTTAGGTGGGTTGGCCAGCCTAGCGTGTGCTTGCAGCACTGGGTGTCTGGCCATGTCTCTGGTACTAATGACAGGGACTAAGGTTCTTGGAGCTAGTTCAGCTGGGAGCTTTCTGAACTTGCTTCTTTACTGTGAAAGAAGTCACACATATACCCTGATAAAGGTGCTTGTGCTTTGATTAGCTGGCTTAATTTCATTGTTCCAAAAAGACTATAAAAAGGTGAGTTCGAATATATTTCCTTTTAGAAGCCTTAGTTTTTCAGTCCACCATAGAGAGGTATAATTGACATACAAAAAGCTATCCATATTTTATGTTTACAACTTAGTAAATTAGATACAGAAACACATATGTGACATGGTACCACTTATAAGAGAAATCTAATAGTCACATGCACAGAAGCAGAGAGTAGAATCGTAGGTGCCAGGGACTGTGAAGAGGGGAAGTGGGAAGGTATTAATCAAAGGCCACAGCATCTGTTCCTCAGCCCTGGAGCTCTGTGCAGAGTGCCTGCAGTTCACAGCACTGTATCACATACTTTGTGAAGAGGGTAGAGCTTGTGCTATGTTCTTATCACAGAGAGAGAAAAGGAACTTACTTTTTTATATTTGAAGATAGTTGGCAGAAACTTTTCCATTCATTTATGTGACTTTACTTTGCCAGAATCTTTTGAAGAAACAAGTTGAAACTCGGACAGCAGATGGCCGGAGAAGAATCACACCTCTCTGCATAGCACAGCTGGACACTGGGTACTCATTCATTCACCGAACTTTCTGTGACCTTATCTGGGGAAGTCTTCCTCTCTCCTTTCGCCAGTTAGCACTTTTCTAGTTAGGATCTTCAGACTCTTGGGCCAACATGACTTATAGAATTTGGAAGCGAGAGAGTCGAGCCCAGCCTCCCACCTCCCACCAGCCTCAAAGCCCATGTTGGTCACAGAGCTCTGTGCACACTTGACACCTGTGGAAGGGTGGGGGCCTGAGACTGCCCTCAGGCCAGCACATCTGCTTCGCCTCACTGCTGCAGGGCACTAGAGGACACACAGGAAAAGAAGCCACACTGATTTTTTTTCCTTTTATCTACTTTTTCTGATTTTGAAAGGTATATTCATTGTTGAAAATTCAAAAAATAGTAAAAGCCCAAAGAGTATAAATATTATCTATAACTCAGTCTCTGTTAATATTTTGATATCTGTATTTCCAGTCTTTTATCCCACTTGTTACTGTATTTTGACCTTTCTTCCACTTAAATAAATAGTCCTATGAAGCATTTTCTTGCTGATTATCCAGGTTCTTGTCCTATGAATGCACCATGATTTACTAAAACAGCTCCTTAACTGTGGACTTGTAGTTTGTGTTCAGTTTTTTAAATTATTATTGTTACTGTAAATGAATCTTTGAGCATACCCATGTCTATTTCCTTGGAATAATTCCTAGAAGTGCAACTGGGCAGAGGGTAGGGCTCTGAGACACATTTCCCTGTAAGGGCAAAGAGGGGATATGTGGACTTCTTCACCATTTGTTGTTGTCTCCATGTCTATAATTAGGCTTGTTTTTGTATTAGTTGTTCTCCAGAAATGACATATGTTGACTCAAAGGATTGTAAGCCCCTTGTGAAAGTAGATGTCAGGGTGTCTCACTCTGTCTTGTTTGGGGTTTTTTGTTTGTTTTTCTTGTGTGTGTGTGTGTGTGTGTGTGTGTGTGTGTGTGTGTGTATGTTAAGCCACATATCCAGCCCTCAATCTGGGTTTTATACTCACACAGCAAGTGATCTGCTCAGAGCATCAGGAAGTCCTTCCCAGAGACCATGCACAGTAGTCCTTTGCACTTTGCGTTGCCCATGCATGAGCTGTTCCAAGTCTCCTTTGAAAGCTGAAGAGACCTTCATTCATAGGTTGTGCTAACTCCATCTCAGGTTAAATATGCAGGCACTGAGGCTCCAGGGTCAGGTACCTGGCCAGAAACAAGTTTCCTAACTCCTCTTATATCAGTACTTTTCTTTTGGCTAGACCTTTTTCCTGTTGGCAGCCTACAGGGGATAAGGCCACCTGCCTAGCTTTTATTAGCATCTTGTGAGACCAAGTGTGTGAATGTGCTTTGAGTACTGCCCAGCCTGTGGTAGTGAGGGAGGTAGTGGTAGTGATGGTGGCACTTTTGTTCTGGGAGTTCTTCCAGGCCTCGCATGGGGAGGAGGCAGAGGAGAAAGGTGCTTCCTAACTGGCCTGAAGCCAGCTTTCTTCCAGTGGGCACTTATTTCTGAGACCAAAACTTAATTCCTTTTGTTTTAAAGGCTTTTTCACCTTCTATTTCCATATTCAAATAAGTAGGAAATTATTAAGAAAGAAAAGAAAAAATACTCGAAATAATCATAGATAAGGAATAAACCAAAAGAATGAGAGACTTCTTTACTGAACCTCACAAATAAGTAGAATTTTGATTTTTTTTTTTTTCCCCCTTTGGACAGAGACTCACTGTGTAGCCCAGGCTGATCCAAATTCATGATCCTCTTGCCTCAGCTTCCTAGGTGCTGGGATGTATCACCAGGCCTAGCTCCAAGTTGATGATTTATGACAAAAATAAAATTACTAAAAGTGAAGAATTGTTGTAGAAGAAATAGAGGATGATGTCAAAAAGTTAACCCCACCAAAAGCCACCACCTAAGAAGGCTTCACAGGGAAATTGTTTGTTTTTTGTTTTTTTACGTTTTAGCAAGAATTTATTTTAGTATAGCAGGATAAAGTAAGGAGAAAAGGGGGGTTTGTGGGGGGGAACATTTCCTGCTCCCCACCCGGGAAATGGAAGTAAAGACTCAAAATGGTCATTCTTATCTGTGGCCTTTATACTTCTTCTGCTTGAGAATATCCCTGGTCATTGGCCTAGCAGCTCCCAGCCATTAGACATTGGTCTGGGTGGCCAAGGTGGGTGCTGCTTATTATTCTAATATGGAGATGTGATCAAGGCCTACCAAAGCATAGGTGACCTTTGGGACTTTTTGCCAAGCATGTCTTTCATTCTGTCAGTCTTTCTACCCCTTCATGGAGCTTGGTGGCTTTTTTTTTTTTTTTTTTTTTTACTTTCTGGTTCTAAGTTTGGTGCTTTTAACTCTAATACTATTTTACGTATTCTAGTGCATAAACAAAGAAAACTTGCAGATCCTTTTTTATTTTAAGAGCAGAATATTTACATCAAAATGTAATAGAACTAGTCAGGCACCTTCATATGTCTCAGCTATTCAGGAGGCTGAGGTAGGAAGATCTCTTAAGCCCAGGAGTTCAAGACTAGTGAGACCCTGTCTCAAACAAACAAAAAAGTAAAGTAAAAAAGATAGACTGTAATCAATTCCAGGTATATCTGGTCCAATATAAAATTGTAAATGAACTAGTAACAAGTATACCCTTACAGCATGTTAAGACCCATGTTCATTTCAAGGAAGCAAGAAGGTTCAAATTTGTGGGAACCATTAGTTTAAGTCTGCATGTCAATCGATCAAAAGAAGTAAGTGGTCTATGAACAATGGAGGGGGTAAATCCAATTAAGATAGATTGTAAGCACAAATGTAAATATCACAGTGTATCCCCCTGTACAGCTATTACATGCTAATAAAATTATTTGTAAAAAAGGCAAAAAAAAGTAAAAAAGAAAGAAGTGATGTGATCATCTCCATAGATGCTTAAGAAACATTTTTTATAAAATTCAACGTTGTTCTGACTTAAAACCCAATTAAATGGGAGTAGATGGATGCTTCCTTAACTCTATAAATTGTCTTATTTCAAATCAAGTTCAGAAACTAAACATCTTTTTACTGTTTTGACTATAATTGAACATTGCTCTAGTTGTCCTAATCTGTGCTATTAGGCAAGAATAAGTTGGAAAGGAGAATATAAAATGTACTGTCATTTAAAGATGATGTGATATATAAGAGAATCAACTGGGAAATCTGCCACCCACAATAAAAGAAGATAGTAGAGCTGTTTGTGGTGGTACACACCTGTGATTATAGCATATTGGAGGTGGAGACAGGAGGATTGAGAATTTGAGGATAGCCTGGGCTATGTATTGAGACCCTGTCTCAAACAAAACAAAGCAAAAAGGACAGTAATAGCTAGATATAATCAACATGTGATCACGTCTTCTGCCTTTAGAAGACACAAATGAAATAGCTAAACTGCAATAAGAAATGTTTTGTTTTTGTTTTGACACAGGTTCTCACTGTGTTGCTTAGGCTACTCTTGAACTTGGGGGCTCAAGCAATTCTCCCACTTCAGCCTCCTAAGTAGCTAGAGCCACAAGTGCACACCACTACTGGATCCAGCTAATAGATGTAAAGCTTTATGAAGAAAAACTTAAGAACCCTAATGAGAGACCAAAAAAAAAAGAAAAGAAAATTAGAAAACCATACTATATATTTAGTTAGGATAACTCAATATCATAAAAGATGTCAGTTCTCCCTAAACCTATAAATTTAACATGAACCAATACAAATAACCATAGTTTTCAGGATCAGAAAGGTAATTCTGAAGTTCTTTGAAAAAAAACAAAAAGGAATAGCTGAAATAAATTTGAAAAAAATTTAATCAGGGAACATTGTTCTCACCAGTAATTAAAGCTTAGGAACTATTATAATTTAAACAGTGAGGTACTGACACATGAATAGAGCAGTGGAACATAATAGAATTTCCAGGAAAAGGCCCAGATATTCAAGGGAATTTTAAAAGTAGCATTTCATACCAGTAATGAAACATTAGTTAATCCAACAGATGAGAATAAGGAACTACCTGTCACTCTAGAAACCAAGTTGAATCCAACCTCGGAACTTACAACTTGAAACATACTGAACAGCTCAGAGATTATTTATGTATGTTAGTGTTTAATTTTATTGTTGTCTAAATTATTTTTGCTTAAGATTTTAGAAGATTCCATGGGAAAATATTTTTATAATCTCAAGAGGTTAAAAAAGGTTTCTGTCTCAGAAAAAGAAAACAGGCTGGACGCTGGTGGCTCACGCCTGTAATCCTAGCTACTCAAGAGGCAGAGAGCAGGAGGATCGAGGTTTGAAATCAGCCTGGGCAAATAGTTCACAAGACCCTACCTCAAAAAAGCCCATCACAAAAAAGACTGGTGGAGTGGCTCAAGGTGTAAACCCTGAGTTCAAACCCCAGGGCCACACACACATACACACACCAGGGCCACGCATACACACACACACATACACACACCAGGGCCACACGCATACACACACACATACACCAGGGCCACACGCATACACGCACACACACACACCAGGGCCACACGCATACACACACACGCACACCAGGGCCACACGCATACACACATACACACACCAGGGCCACGCATACACACACACACACACACACCAGGGCCACACACATACACACACACACATACACCAGGGCCACACACATACACACACACACACACCAGGGCCACACGCATACACACACACACTACACACACACACACATGCATACACACACACGCATACACACACACACCAGGGCCACATGCATACACACACACACCAAACCAGAAACAATAGCAGCAACAAAAACCCACTACTTTTGGCAAGAAAAAAATGTACCATATGGAGTAAAAACAGCATACTGGAGAAATAGTTCTTATTCATAAAGGAATGCTGGGTATTTTTTTATTATGTAAATATTTCTTATAAATTGATACTAAAGACCAGTAATAAAATACAGTAATAGATGAGGAATATAAACAAAGAGTTGGCCAAAAAACACACACAAAAAAAAGAAAATATGTTTCTATGTGAAAAATTTTAATGTTATATCAAAATAACTGCATCCATCAAATTGACAAGTATCAAGAAATTTAGGGGGCTAATGGAGTGGATCAACAGTAAGAGCGCAAGCCTAGTAAGCATGAACTCCTGAGTTCAAACCCCAGTGCCACCAAAAAAAAAAAAAGAAATTTAGGTTGTGGGGAAATAAGCACTCATAAATGGCTTATAATTTAAATCTCTAAGAAGGGAACTTTAGAGACACATCACAAATCATGAACTAACACACTTGCTACTCCAACTCCACTTCTAAAAATTTATACCATGTAAGGGCTAGTGCAAGCTGTACAGCACCTGCCTAGCAATTGTGAGGCCCTGAGTTCAAACCCCAATACTGCCAAAAAATGATTAAAATGATTACATTTACTCATGTAATATGTGAATCAACAAGGTATAAGTGACAATCATTACAATTCCAGGCATCTTTGAAAAACTAAAATGTGCCCTAACTATGTGCCACAGAAATTTCTTTAGTCCTAACAGCAGCCCCGTGGGGAGGGTCCCAGACAGAAACTTGAGACACAATAGAAGTGACTGAAATGTGCAAGGTCATGAGCTTGAGAATCCAGAGGAGTCATCCCTGGTTGGTCTGGCCAGTTCCCTCAGTCTTAACGGTGCAGTATCTTGGTTTCTGATGCAGTAATACCTTTCATAAAAGAAGCTGGGAGCTAGCCCTATTCCTCAGTAGAAGCTGGGATAGGTAAATTATGGCATGTCCATCCAGTGGGAAAGCCTGCAGCTCTTAATGAAAGGGAGGCTCTTTTAGTATACTGCATTCCTTTCACTCCAGGATATACATTATAGTTTAATACCTCTGAGATCAGGGTGCATCATATGGGTCAATGGTATCTGACAATTAGAAATAGGAGCGTTGTCTTTCTTAGTGATACATGTAGTGCTAGTGCATCTTAGCTTTAATTAAATATAGTATATTGAATGCTTTTCATTTTCTTTTTTATTTTCTATAACTTTCCAAGTTATCTACCATGAAACTATATTGCCTCTAAGCCCAGAAAAATGTTATTTAAAAGGTATAAAGTAATTGGTGTGGCATCTTATTTTCATGCTGACTTTTGTTCTTACTTGACAACAGGGACTTCTCCACGGCATTCTTTAACAGCATCCCACTCTCTGGCTCCCTGGCGGGCACCATGCTCTCCTCTCCCAGCAGTCAGCAGCTACTGCCACTGGACTCCAGTACCCCCTCCTTCGGCGCCTCGAAGCCTTGCACAGAGCCTGTGACCGCCGCTGGCGCCCGGCCTACAGGCGAGTCTGTCAGTAAGGACAGGTTAGTGGGTGCCAAACCTTGCTTGATCCTGTCCCTGGGGAACATTCAGGTTCAGACATGGTTGAAAGGATGAGAATTTCATTCTATTCTCACTTCATATCCCCTTCAGTTACAAAAAGGAAGAAATGCTTGATTTCAAACGAGATCTTCCTCAGAAGGGAAGACTTGTTCGGGTGAGTCTTTGACACATAGGGCTGTGAGGACTTCACAGAGAAGCTGTCCTGACTGACTGAGGATCAGACTATGAAGCTTGAGGACCTGTCAGTAAAATGCCACCTATCACAGGGTCAGCCCCACCTTTTGGCAGATCCACACTGAAGGTAGCCTCACCTTACTGTGTTGTGAGCCTCACTGTTCATCCCAGCACAGTGCTCCCCAGCACATGGACTCCTTCACACTCAGAATCATACTCACTCTGAGGCCCATGTCTTCACCGACCATTACACTTGATCAGAAGGGCTATGGGGAGCATGAGTAAGAGCCAAGTGAACCTTTGCCCCGTGCCTGCTCAGAGTTACATACTGCAGGGACCAGGCATCTACAGGGGATTGACTGGTGGGTCCTCGTCCTCAAGGAGTATGTAGGCTAGTGGGGAAGAGGTAGCCACGGGGTTGCAGGGTCACTCCTGGGGTTCCTTGGCAGAAGTAGCTAGCCATCAGAAGGGGTTGGTGGGCAGGTCTCTGAGAGACTTTTCAGAAAGTGTTCTTCTTCAGGGCTCACACAAGCCAACCAGGGGGATAGAGGTTGGCAGTAAGGCAATGGCAAGAGCAGAGCTCTGAGGCTCTGAAAAGGGACCAGAAAGAGAATAGAAAGGCTGGATTCCTGTTCTGAACCAGGTAGGCTGGGTTTTTCCCAAAGTGGAGATACACAAAACTTTGAGACTTGCATTTTAGGAAGATGGCTCTAGTAGGCAGTGGTGCCCAATTTAGACACCCCCTAGCCCGTACAGCTGATACTGTGAAAGTGAGTCCTCATTGTTCGGGATGGCGTCTTCTATTATCATAGCCTTCCCTTTTGGGTTCTGGCATCGGGGCTGTGCAAGCACAAAGAGCATCAAGTATCATTGCTCTTGGGAAACTGAGGACAAATCAGAAGAGACAGTGCAACAAGGCCAGTCAGGAAGCAAAGCTTCCAGGGAAGAAGGGTGTCTTAAAAGGACAGATGCCACCAAAGCTGAGAAATGTTTAAGGGTTTGGACCTACATGTCATGGAGGAGGAGAAAAGCGCTGTCCTGGAGGATTCCAGGCATGTGGTGCAGGTGGTAGGAGGTGTTAACCTGCATGAGATTAGCAGGAAGCCCAGTGGCTTTGGACCCAGAAGTGCGGGGTTGGATTAGGCAGAAGGAAACCTAGGCAGGATTATGCCTGGGTCTCCTCTCTCCATAGAGTAGAAGATGAGCGCCATAGGGCGAGCACCTGGAGGAGGCTGCCACAGAATTTTTTTTATTGTCGCAATGAGAGATGGAAGGGGCCACCCAGGACAGTGGGATGCAGGCCAGGAAAGGACTGTGGCTTTAGGGCCCCAAGTGGGGGCTTTTCTTGTCAGCTCCATTGTGGGGATGACAAAAGCCGATGGTTGCAGTGGTTTGTTAGACAAGCTGCATTGAAGCTGTGGAGACCCAGCTTTTGTGGTTAGCCATCCACAGAAGTCTCAGGGCAGTGCGGAGTGGAGCCCATGAAAGCATTTGCTCACCCTCTTGGGTACTGAGACTTCCGAGGTCTTTACTCATGAGACATTTTAAAGAAATAGGACAGTGGACTACATTTTGAAAGTTTCGTGTTCATAAAAGTTTGATACTTGTACTCCTTTCAATAGGCTCTAAGTTACACAAGTTCTAGGCCCCAAATTCTCTAGGGATTGTGCTTGATGTGCCTCTTCATCTTCTTCCCCAGTATGAATGCTACCTCTACTCCTGCTGCATTGTCCCCTTCTGTGTTAACAACCCCATCCAAGATTGAGCCCATGAAAGCATTTGACTCCCGATTCACAGAGCGGTCCAAAGCCACGCCTGGTGCTCCTTCCTTGACCAGTGTGACTCCCACATCTGTGGAAAGGTAGGTTTTGGGTCTGCAGAACTCCTACAGACCCAGGTACAGTATCTTCCCAGATCTCCCACCGTGTATCCTGCTTTCCTTAGGGGAGCAAGACTGAAGATGCCCGAGTGAGCCACCATGTGTCAGGAGAAAGATGTTGCTGCCAAAAATAGGGAGGTGGCTGGAAGAAGCTGTGGGGGAGGATACTGTGGGCAAAAGAACAATGAGAGCAGAAACACAAGGTCTGACCCATTGAGGCTATGCTGAGAGTATTGTCATCCTTTGAATGGATTCCAGAGTTTACCAAGAAGAAAACTAAGGGTGGTTGGGGAAATAAAGGCTCTGATTTTGTTGTACCAGGCAAATGATGGCCTTCTGCTCAGAAAAAGATACGAGGAAAGGAGCCAAGACCCCAGTGATATAGGTGAGCTCTTGCAAGCTCATTGAGACTTGTTTATTCCTTGTAGTTCCCCTAGCATACTGCAGCCAAGAAACAAAATTATAGTTCTTCATTTCTTAGAGTTGCAGGAGAGCATCCTTCTGAGGCAGTCAGAGCAAGTGTGTGCAGCCTAGGTTGTTGACACTGAGCTTTGCTGTCTCCTGTGAAGGTCTCCTTCCAAGCCTGCCATGGCAGGGAACTTGACATTCCAGTGAGTTGGGGGTTAGGGGAATTATGCATGGACTGGGCTACCTTACTCCTCAGGAGCAAGGGAGCTGTCCTCTTGGGGTTGCATCCCACTGTGAGGCAAGTAGGGTTTGGCAGCCTGGGACCACCAGAGCTGAGGTGGAATATTTCGTATCTGAATTTTCCGACTCCTGAAAGAGGAAATCAGAGTTAAAGTTCTGGGTGATTTAGGTGCCTGTGTCCTGGCAGTTTCTAGCCCTTGTCCCAGTTTTTATCCCCCTAACCTACTGCTCACACTCATCAACACCAAAATCTTAGTAATTTTTTTCCCTATTGCTGGGGATTGAACCCAAGGGCAGCTTTGTGCATGCTAGCCAAGGACTCTACCATGAGTCAAACCCCAATCCTTTACAATGGCAACCTTCTAGACATACAGATTTGGAGTTGGGGTGCCTCACCTCAGAGACCAATTTATCAAAACTACCAGAGAAAATTCAGAATCAGATATTCTGAGCACAATTCCCAACTGCCTCTAGCTTTCCCACTTGGTTCTTTCTGTCCCAGGCACTAGAAAACAAAGCTAGGTAAGACAGTTAATATAAGAACTATTTAATTGGTACCTACCTCATACTCCTTACTGCTTCAGAGGTTGGAGACACCGCAATAAACAAAAACAAAGAGCCTGGCTGGAGGTGCTCACGATGTGAGGAAACAGGACTGTGCAATGAATTACAGCCAGGTAATGTAGCAGTTAAGCGCCTGGCACAGATGTGGATTTAAACCACTTACTGGCTCTGCTCCTTAAAAGATTATTTAAATTCTTTGAGGCCCAGTTTACAAGTGCAGGGATACTGGTCAGAGGTTCTTGGAATAGCCACACAGCCAATAAGTGTCCAGTAAGACGGACATTTGTATGAGACCTGTCCTTAGAACAGACAGTGTCTCCCAGCTAACATGAGAGTGTGCTGTCCCTAGGGATTTGCTTATGGTCTCAAAACTGCTTGTCTGGGAATGATTTGTTCTCCTTAGAGAACAGTACCTGGAGGACAGCATGGAAGGCCTCTCTCTTTAAGTCTTCTGATCTGTCTGTAAAGTTGTATTCTACTCTAATCATGCTTGCATTAGTATAAAAAAATTCCGTGTGATCTTTTTATCTAGTATATCTGAAAACCTTCCTGCTACTAAACGCTTTGAATTGCTGGATCAAATGTATCTCATATCCCTAAAATGCATAACCCCAAGAACTAAAATATATGTGTGAACAACAACAACAACAAAAAAAAGCAATGGGCAAGACCACCCTGTGGATGCTGAGCTAAATAAAGGGCTACCAAACTGATGATCAAGAACCTTGACTTTTAATGGCTGCACTGATTCAGGACAAGGTCTTTGGCCTGAACTATGTAGGGGTTGGAGCTAAATCATCAGCATAAAGTCAAACCACTTGGAAAAAACACAGCTACCTTGAGAGGTGGGTGTTAGAGAAAAAAAAATTGACTGGCAGCCTAGAACACGGCAGAGGAGAATTTAGAATGTCTCAGCCTGTCCTTTGGGCTAGGAAAACAATCTTCACTTGACACTATTGCCATAGTCCTATGCTTTTGTGGATTTTGTGTCAGTTTAGAATTTAGTTTGTATTTGAGGAGTGGCTCTTCTATTGACTGGTTTTTTTGTTTTGTTTTGTTTTGTTTTTTTGTTTTGAGACAGGGTCTCATGTAGCTCAGGCTGGCCTGGAACTCACAATCCTCCCACTTCAGCCTCCTTAGTGCTGGGATTACAGGTGTGCACCATTATGCCAAGCTCTGGGATCAATTTAACACTGCCTGTGTCATTTAGAAATCACCGAATGAAGAAATGAACACAGATGAGGATTCCAGAGGCACTTGGCAAAGATGCACATCTACCCTGCAGGAACATTCCCTCTCCCCAGGGTGTATAGCATTCGTACCATTAGAGCATCACCTAGATGAACTTAAGAACTTAAGATCCAAAATAACTAAACACATGAAGAAACAGTCTATTATGTAGAAATATCAGGGACTCTGATAAATCTCTCATCATAGAATTGTTGGAAAAGACTGTAAAATAAATACCTTTAAAATAATGAAAGATTAAACAAAGTATAAGGCAAAATTAATATTCTACTCTGTATGTAAAAATTAGTTCAATATGGATCAGAAAACTACATGTGAGAGCTTAAATGATAAAACTCTTATGAGAAAACATAAAAATCAACTGGGCACCAGTAGCTGGTTTCAGGCCAGCCCAGGAAGAAAAGTTTACAAGACCTCATCTCAATAGAAAAAAGATGAGCATGGTGGCAAATGTAAAATAGGAGTATCTTGGTCCATACTGGCCTGGGCGAAAAGCAAAACCGTATCTCCAAAATAACTAAAGCAAAGAGGGCTGGAGCCATGGTTCAAGCAGTAGAGTGTGCCTCCTTAGCAAGCGCAAAGCCCTGAATTCAAACCCCAGTACCGTAAGAAAAAAAACCTTAAGCAACTAAAAAAAAAGAAAGAATGTTAAGTGGCATTTCATCAGAATTTAAAACTTATGCTTCGTGGGGCACTATCTGAGTGAAAAGACAAACTACAAAGTGGGAGAAAATATTTGCAAATCACATCCGATTAAGATCTAGGATCCAGTCTTCAAAACACCCAGCATAGACTGTGTTCCTCTAACTTTGGACAGAATGCTGCCTTTCCAGTTGAGTCTTGGATATGGCTCAACTGTAGTTAGGGGTAATGTCTGGAAAATGTAAGTCCTTAAACACTAGAATCATATTTGGTTCACAGGACATGGGCTATTTATAGCTTTCAACCTGGGTTCACTCAGGTATGTACTTTTGGAGTGGAACAGAGTTGGGGGGTATAGGGAGCCCACCTGCACTACCGAAATAAAGTTCCTTCTTGCTTAAAACAAACAAACAAAAAGATCTAGGATCCAAAGTAAGTAAAGAACTCTTAGAACTCAAGACTAATAATATACTTTAAAAATAGGCAGAATTTAAATAGAAATTTCTTCAAAGAAGATACACAAATGGCCCACAAACACATAAAAGACACTCAATATCATTAGGCATCATGCTGAAATGTAAATTAAAAGTATAACGAAGCCAGATGCTGATGGCTCACACCTATAATCCTAGCTACTCAGGAGGCAGAGATCGGGAGGATAGCAATTCAAATCCAGCCCAGGCAAATAGTTTGCAAGACTCTATCTTAAAAATACCCAACACAAAAAAAGACTGACAAAGTGGCCCAAGTGGTAGCATGGCTGCCTAGCAAGTGTGAGGCCCTGAGTTCAAACCTCACTACCACCCCCTCCCCCAAAAATATATAGTGATACTTAGCTTAATGTCTCCAAGGCTTATCCCTGTAGCATCTGTAAGTACTCCATTCCTTTTTGTTGAGGAGTAACAATCTATTATATGGCTATTCCACATTTGCGTTATCAGTTACCTATTAATTAATAGATGTTTGAGTTATTTTCACTTTTTGGTCCTTGTGAGTAGTAATGATAGGAACATTTTTGTACAAATTATTGCATGAACACATGCTTTCAGTTCTGTAGGGTGTATGTACTATGTATGTACCTATGCATAGTATTGCTCGTGTCATGTGGTAACAGTTTAGCCATTTGAGAAATTGCTAGGATGCCTTCCAAAGAGAATGAATGACTTTTATATTCCCACCATCAGTGTGTGAGGGTTCCAGTTTCTCCCCAGTCTCACCCAGAATTATTATCTGACCATCTGACTTTCGATTGCATCCATCCTAGTGGGTATGAAGTGACATATCATCGTGCTTTTGATTTGCATTTCACCATTAGGACCTTCTGGAATTATAAACATGCTCTGGAATTAGGTGGCAGTGATGGTTGCATGACATTATTCTAAACACTACTGAATTCTATGCTTCCAAATGCATTTTTATGATATAAATTTTTAAAGGGGAAAAATAAAACTAATAATGCACCATCAAAAAGACGAGACAGATTTAGAAATGAGCCAGAGGTACTTTTAGCAAAGCAAAATAGGGCTGGGGATGTAGTTCAGTGACAGGGAGACTGCCTACCGTGCACAAGGCCCTGGGTTCAATGCCCAGCACTGAAAATAGCAGCAGCAGCAATTGTAATTAAAAGTCATTAGAGGACAGGACACTGTGGTGTTTTCCTGAAATCCAAGCTCCTCAGGAGGTGGAATAGGCAAAAGTTAACAAGACCCTATCTCAAGAAGCAAGCTGGGCATGTGCCTGTAATCCCAGCTACTTGAGTGGCAGAGATGGGAGAATCACAGTCTGAGGGCGGCCCAGGCAAAAGTGCGAGGCCCTATCTAAAAACCAAACCAAAAGCAAGAGGACTGGGATGTGACTCAAGTGGTAGAGTGCTTGTCTAG